ATCAGTCGGGGCCACTCTGACATGTGCCCCATCGTAATGACCGCCGCCCATCACCGACTCGTACCCGTCCCTCATTGGCCACGTATGGGGTATAATCACCTCGAGCTCAACAAAGCGGGCCCTCCCGTCAGTGGCCCGGTATAGAAATTGTGAGCCGTTTCGCCACAATTGCTGTAAATTAGCGATCAAACGGTCCGATTCGGGCACATCTGAGTGGATGGCAATTGTGATCCCCCGGTAGCCCCCGTTGATGAACGTGATCGGTTTGGGGCTACCCTGGGTGTAGCTGATGATGGTTATTATGATGGTGATTAGTAGTAGGTTTGCAAGATTCACCATTTTTTCACTGATGGTGTTTTGTTTGCTGTTAACCTAGTTATTAGTTTTTGCTGTACTTTTGCGCTAATACTGTACTAATTGTTGGCTAAAAATATAATTGTATTTAATTCAAAGGCTAACTATTTATATGTGTTTTTCGGAAATCAGTATTTGTTTTGTGGATAATATTTCTTATGTTTTGTTTTTTCAGTTAATCCTATGTTTTGTTAACTCAAATCTTTATTTTGTTTTTAGTTTTATGTATGTTTTTTGAATGCAATTTCCTATTGAATTGTATTTATTCACACAATTAGCATAAGTTACTATATTATGTTTGTAAATTACAATCGTATGATTTCCTTTAACTAATTGCTTGTTATAAATATTATTTATAATATTATTAATTGTTTATGGATATATTATTACATTATAAAAGTGTTCTCGATTATTTTATTACAAATAAATGTAAAATGTTTATTATAAACATTGTTATAAAATTACAAATAATTTGTAATGACTAATTAAACAATAATTTATGAATTACAAATAAAACTTGCATTTATTACAAAGATTATACATTTATAAAATATAAAATTGTCGACAAATACTAAAATACTAGCGATTTTATTAATACAACATTTCATGAATGAAAATCCCATTTATTTAATACTTAACACATATTTGTTAAACACATCTCAATATGTATTTCAATGTCAGGCCAACGAAACAAAAAACAAAGACAAATAGCATTATGGTAAAAAACAAAACATCCATTAAAATTACCATCATTTCTAATACATGATTATCATCTCTAATGCCTACCTCTCTCTACTCAACCTACCTGTGCTCACACATACACAGCACTGATGGTAATTGTGTGGGAGATTTGCTTATATAAAATACATTGCGAGAACGGGAGTTGAATATGATAAAATATTTAGGTATTAGCATTAAGCACACTATTTAAATAAAGTCTAGGATGTTTAATAAAAATTTTATTTTATTTAAATTAAGTAATAAAATATTTATAAAATAAAATAAAAATTCTATCAAATTCATCTATGTCTAAATATAGCCAATAGTTTATGGCATATATAAATTATATACATGATGGTTAAATTATATAAAAGTTGTGTATTGAAATATTTTGTCAATTTTACCTAGATGAAGTTGGTTTAGTGTAATATTTCAGTGTGCTTTGATGTGTTGTTGAGAGAGCGATGTATTTAAGACTTTGTGATGTGTAATCATTGTATAGTTTATTTCTCATCCCAAATAACCATACATTTTATTAAAAGCAAATATTTATCATGTGTTTAAAATCCTATTGTGAATAAGTCTTTGTATAAATATTATTATGATTTGTGTTTTAAAAACTTATTTCACACTAAAAAAACCAAAAACACGATTCACTTGAAACAAGTCCTCCGCAAACATGCATTGAAAATGAAATTTATTTTTACATCCATGAAATATCTATACATATTAGTGTTGGCTAACTATAACGGTTATAGTGAAGGCTATTGTGTAATTAATTAGTACTATTTTACGCCAAACCCTGGCATTTATATAATTTAACCATCATGTATATAATTTATATATGCCATAAACTATTGGCTATATTTAGACATAGATGAATTTGATAGCATTTTTATTTATATTTAATTTTATAAATATTTTATTACTTAATTTAAATAAAAACAAAATTTTTATTAAACATCCTAGACTTTATTTAAATAGTGTGCTTAATGCTGTACCTAAATATTTTATCATATTCAACTCCCGTTCTCTCAATGTATTTTATATAAGCAAATCTCCCACACAATTAACATCAGTGCTGTGTATGTGTGAGCACAGGTAGGTTGAGTAGAGAGAGGTAGGCATGAGAGATGATAATCATGTATTAAAAATGATGGTAATTTTAATGGATGTTTTGTTTTTTACCAAAATGCTATTTGTCTTTGTTTTTTGTTTCGTTGGCCTGACATTGAAATACATATTGAGATGTGTTTAACAAATATGTGTTAAGTATTAAATAAATGGAATTTTCATTCGTGAAATGCTGTATTAATAAAATTGCTAGTATTTTAGTATTTGTTGGTAATTTTATTTTTGATAAATGTTTAATCTTTGTAATAAATGCTAGTTTTACTTGTAAATAATAAATTATTGGTTATGAAGTATCATTAAAAATTATATGTAAATTTATAACAATGTTTATAATAAATATTTTATATTAATTTTCACATTTATTTATAGAAAACAATCGGGGTTTTAATATATACCAACCAAAACAACAATTAATACAAATAAAATAATTTTCCATAGAAATGTTACCAATTTAAAAATAAAATTTAAAACACATAATGATTATTACAAACAAAATGTTATTTTTACAGTATCTTAACAAGTAAGTAATTGTAAAAGTATCATTGTAAGTAATTTAATAATAATCATAATATTTATTTAATACACATACTTGTTGTAATCATTTTTATAAATTATTACAGACTTTTAAATTGCTGTACAGTAATGTATAAAATTTATATTATAAATGTTGAGTATATAAGATGTCATACAAACAATTAATATTATTGTGAATAATAATTATAACAAGCAATTAGTTAAAGGAAATCATACGATGGTAATTTACAAACATAATAAAATAACTTATGCTATTTGTGTGAATAAATGCAAGTCAATAGGAAATTGCATTCAAAAAACATACATAAAACTAAAAACAAAATAAAGATTTCTGTTAACAAAACATAGGATTAACTGAAAATAAAAACAAAACATAAGAATATTATCCACAAAACAAATACTGATTTCCAAAAAAACACATATAAATAGTTAGCATTTGAATTAAATACAATTATATTTTTAGCCAACAATTAGTACAGTATAGCAAAAAACTAACGCAAAAGTACAGCAAAAACTAATAACTAGGTTAACAACAAAACACCATCAGTGAAAAAATGGTGAATCTTGCAAACCTGCTACTAATCACCATCATAATAACCATCATCAACTACACCCAGGGTAGTCCGAAACCGATCACGTTTATCAACGGGGGCTACCGGGGTATCACAATTGCCATCCACTCAGATGTGCCCGAATCGGACCGTTTAATCGCTAATTTGCAGCAATTGTGGCGAAACGGCTCACAATTTCTATACCGGGCCACTAGCGGGAGGGCCCGCTTTGTTGAGCTCGAGGTGATTATACCCCATACGTGGCCAATGAGGGACGGGTACGAGTCGGTGATGGGCGGCGGTCATTACGATGGGGCACATGTCAGAGTGGCCCCGACTGATAGGGTTAAAACAAACAGGCCCTACACCTATCAGCCCCGGGGCTGCGGACAGCCCGGCGAGTATATACAGCTAACCGACGGGTTTTTGGAGAGTCTATTCGATGATAAGGCGAGTGAGAGGTTTGATTATCCAGGTATTTATTGTTCTATAATTATTTAATTTATTTACAACTATTAGTGAATTAAATATTATAATTAATTAATAATATTGTAAATTAAAATTAGTTTGAATTGAATAACTTATAAATTAAAACAATTAAAGACCGCTCTTCTGGTACTCTCATTTAAAACGAAATACAAAATCACATTATGATTATTTAATACAAAACAGTAAATTTTACCGTTTGTATTAGACTTTAACTAACTTAATAATGTTCTGATAACAATGCTAAAACTATTTATAAACTTATTTATTTATAGTACAAACATTCGTTTAATTAATATCATTAAAATTAATTTTTGTTTATACATGTAACAATTGATAAACATTATTGTGCACAACTTCCACTTAAAATTAAATACAAAACCACATCTTAATTATTTAATAGAAAAAATAATTAATTTTAGAGTTTGTATTAGATAATTAAATATTAAAATTAATTAATAGTATTGTAAAATAAGATTAGTATGAATTTAATAATTAACAAATATAAAACAATTGAAAAACACACTTCTTACCTCTGTACCCCATTAAAAACAAAATACAAAATTACATCATAATTATTTGATACAAAAAAGTAAATTTTACAGTTTGAATTAGACTTAATAACGTTATCTTATTTAGTAATGCTAATAATATATCAAGTTAGTTTATATAATAAATATGATTATAATAAAATAATATGGATAAATTATTAACGTATTTAGTTAAAGTACAATAACTATGTTAATTAATATTGTTAAAATAAATTATTGTACAGACACTTAATGCTAACTACCCGATTAGAAAAGCACCTGGTTCACGAATGGGCTCACTATAGGTACGGTGTGTTTGACGAGTACTCAGCCGATGGCGATCCGAAATACCCGGCATTTTATATGGAAAACGGAACCGTATGTTAAACATTATTATCATGTTAAAAGTAGTTTAATATACAAATTTTAAAGCTAATCATATGGTAAATTAATTAAAGATATATCCGACCACGTGCGTCAAGGGGATTAAGGGTCGCCAGGAGGACATGGAGGGTAAACCGTGTAAAATATATGCCGGGGGTCAGGTGGCACCGGACTGCCGTTTTGTGCCCGACCCTATGGACACCAATGCCTTGGCATCCATTATGTTTATGCCACACATGAAATCTGTGAGTATAAGTTATACTGTATAACTATCTATTATTGTTCTATGATTGTTTAATTTATAATATTTATTTACCACAATTAGAGAATTAAATATTATAATCAATTAATAATATTGTAAATTAAAATTACTTTGAATTTAGTAATTAACAAATCAAAATAATTGAAAAGGACACTTCCGCTTATTCCACTTAAAACAAAATACACAATCACATTATGATTATTTAATGCAAAACTATAAGTTTTACAGTTTGTATTAGATTTTAACTAATATAATAATGTTCTGTTAATTATGCTAAAAATGTCATAAATGTAACATAATCTGTTTAAATTGTTATTTAATTGTAATAAATTGTTACTAGATTGAAAAATTTTGCCAAAACGACACTGATGATCCGCGATTGCGGCACAATATATACGCCCCCAATAAGCAAAACATACTGTGCAACTACCGGAGCACTTGGGAAGTCATTGAATCGCACAGGGACTTTAAAAACCAGTAATATTTTATTACTATGTAAAGTACATTATTACAATTATTAAAGTTATTAATCAACAATTTTCATAGGGACCTAGACACATTGGGTCAGTACTGCGAACCGGCTATTAGACTATTAAGAGTAGATGATCGACAGAGCACCAGGTTCGCCCTGGTGCTAGACGTATCGGGTAGCATGGACGATTACGGCCGACGGGGTAGACTGCACCGGGCTGCCACCAGGTTTGTGAACGATCTCATTTTGGACGGCATGGAGTTGGGCATAGTGCAATTTTCTACGGATGCCGAGCAGTTGCACCCTATGGTGACAGTGAATGACAACACACGTCAATCGCTGGCAGCTGTGATACCGACCCAATCGGCCGGTTGGACAGCCATAGGCAAGGGCTTGAAGCTGGCGCTGGATATGCTCGGGTCGGGTGCCAGCGGGGTTGGCTCGGGTCGACTTCAGGGGTCGACAATAGTGTTGATCACCGACGGAGAGGAGAACCAAAATGAGCCAAAGATCGAAGAGATAATGCCTGAGCTGTTGAAAGCGGGCGTTCGGGTGGACTCCATAGCCCTGTCCAACGGATCAGACCCCCGGTTGGAGAGGATTGCTATGGAAAGTGGGGGCAAATGTTTTTATATGAAGGACAACGACAGCGCCACCAATACGGCGATGGAGACCGCGTTCATGGGCTTTGTGTCGCAACAGGTAAATGCACCCCTGGTCACATTAATCCTCCTTCCCCCTTTAGTAGTATCAACTTACAAGTTAGTAGTACAACATATATTGGCATAATCGATAAGTCTTTGCCTTCGTATAGATTTAATAGAGGTATCTTAACGAAATTAATTTTATAATTTAAGGTCACATTCCTAGGCACCAGAAATCAAGTTTCATAAAGATCGGATGATTGGGCTGTATACTGGAAATTTTTAACCAAAGTCAGGCAGAATAATGTATTCCTATGGGAAGGTGTCTGTTTTTGTGATTACCGACGCTTGAAATCTCATGTAAATTGATCATGCTTAAACAATAATAGAGATAATAGAAATTCCCTACTCTTCCAATATGGTCAATATCAGCGACATTCAGAGGTTGCACTCATGTGTACTTCGCGCCTTTTTATGTGCGAGGGTATACTGTATAATTATTATCAACCAATTACTAATAGCAAAAATAATGAAACTTCAGCTATTAACCAAAGTTAAACTATGAATTACCATAATTAAACATTACAATACGTNCAACCAATTACTAATAGCAAAAATAATGAAACTTCAGCTATTAACCAAAGTTAAACTATGAATTACCATAATTAAACATTACAATACGTCCTATTGACTAAAAATATGTAACCTGGCTGTCCCTGGTCAATATCTTATGTATAAAATCAAATCATATTTAATGGCCAACTCTGTCCGGTGCCTGAACTGTGGCCATTTAATTATCGGTAGTCGACCCGATTGGCGGCCTGTGTTCGGTCGGTTCCCATTTGATTTCCGTTATAAATAATGTTGTGATAACTGCTCTAAACTGTTGTCGGATAACCAATAGTAAAGTCCAATAACCAAATAATAACTCTAAAAATTTTTATTGTAGAAATATTATCAATCTAAAAATATGTTTATTTTTGGTAAAATATTTTGGGATAAATTTTAAAGAATAATTCTGACTGACACACTTTAAAAATTTCCAGTATACAGACCAATCATCCGATCTTTATGAAACTTGGTTTCTGGTGCCTAGGAATGTTAACTTAAATTATAAAATTAATTTCGTTAAGATACCTCTATTAAATCTATACAAAGGCAAAGACTTATCGATTATACCAATAATTTATATTTTGATTATGCATGTTTGATTTGGATACAAACTGTTTTTTAATTTGTAAATCAAACAATTATTAGTATATTTTTATCACACTTTTCCTCGTGGGATAGTTGTATACGACATATTTTATGCTACAAATGCTGTCTCGTATGTTAGTGTGCAATAGTTTTGTGTTTCAGCCAGATTATTTATAATCGAACATTTTTATAATTATTAAATGAACATGATTGTATGTAATATGCACCTGATTTAGATTTTGATCTGATTAATCTGGACTTTCTTATCATACTAAATGTAAATCCACTTATTTTGTTAAAGCAGTAGGTCGTCGGTTCGAGCCCCGGATTGGGCAGATATTTTTTAATTATTTTTATTTTGCCGAATTAATTTTGTTGTAATACAATAATTATTTTATTTAATGTGTAAGCATAATCTTATATTACAAAACAAATTTAAATGTTGTTATTTTTAATAGAGAGATGTAGAGATCCAAACGGTAACCATAATGAATCGGGAGGTTATCATAATCGGCGACAAACCGGTCACTAAACGCGTGATAATCGACGAAGAGTTGGGCAAAAACATCCGCTTTTCGTTGCACTCGAAGGACACCGACAGCCTTACCGTCAAATTCAAGGCACCGGACGGCCAGACCTACGACCAGACGCACGACAAATACAAAAAACTGTCGGCATTTAAATACATAGAGTTCAGTGTAGAGGACTCGCCGGTCGGCGTGTGGGAGGTCTACATCGGTCAACACCGGCCGACGCCGGACACACCGGTAGCCTCGTTGACCGTGACGTCTGACCCGCGACCTACCGGTGCCAACCAGACGCGCAAACACCCGGTGCGGGTCAACGCCTTTTTTGGCGACCTAGAGGTGCGATACCCGGCAACAGCTCTGGTCTACGCCGACGTACGTAAGGGTCCCAACGCTATCATAGGTGCCCGAGTGGTGGCCACAGTTGAGAGGCCCGACACCGGCGCTGACAGTCAGTCGCCGGACGTAACTGTCGAGCTTTGGGACGACGGCGTGGGCGCAGATGTGACGGCTAATGACGGTATATATACGGCGGCGTTCACTCAGTTTAGCGGTAATGGCAGGTATTCAGTGTCGGCTCAGGTGACTAACACTTCCCGCACACGTATGCGCACTGATTGGTCGATCAGTCGGTTCGCCCCTCTATCCTATGCCCCGCCCGGCGGAGCGAGACGTCCGGCACCGGGTGTTAGTCGACAACAACGACAACAGACGTCCAAAAGCGAGTTCACTGTCGATGATTTTGTGCCCACTCGAGGCCTACCGCCCACTCCCGGTGCTGTAAACACCATACAATCAGTCACTGTACCGGCGTTTACACGTGCGGCACAGGTTGGCTCGTTTAAACTGGACAACTATGGGGGCCCCGAAACCGACTCTATACCGCCCGCACGGGTGACAGACCTACAGGTGCTGACCATCGATGACCAGC